GGGGTGTTGGTGGGAGGGCCGGGGCCCGCCGCCGATTCTCATCTTCCCTTTTCACGGCAGAAGGGCCGCGGCTGCAGGAAAGGAGAAAGGGAAAGAAGAAAACGCGCAGGGCATGCTGGGAATTGCAGTTCAGTTTCTGCAGGGAAACCGACTTAACGGCAGTTTGAAAGAATGCGCTTCCCGGCATGCATCTGCGAGCTGAAAGGTCATGATGGCTGTTGACCCCAATTCCAATGTCCACACTCAGACTCACGGACTTGAGGCGCGTTCCTATGGCGTCAGATCGATGACTTTAGTCTTTGGCACGCATAAATAAAGCTTGGCATTGAAAACTAAACTGAAACTGAAGAAGTAAATATTGGCAATGAAGCATTTGTATTGAAAAAAACACTGGCATTTAAAAAAATATTTAAAAAGTACACTGGAAAAATGACAATCTTCTGATTGTTTTGTCGATCTCAGTATTTTTCAATGCCAAAGTTTTTTCTTTCAGTTTCACTTCTCTGTCAGTTTTGGCGTGGAGGTGGAGGCTTTGAAGTGCGGGGCTAAGGAGAGTGTGATATGCATACTCTGGTTGAGATCCATGAGGAGAGGACAGCCCTCTCCCCTGAGCCACCGTCCACATCGAGGCTTCCGCCTGCTGGGCACGGATGCATAATTGCTGCGCCGGCTTCCCCGAATTCAGCTGGAGCTCTCACGCTGCTGTGTTTCTCTCTGCTGGCATTTATACTCGGAGAGCTGAGCTACGTTAAAGCTCACTTTCAACCAACATTACTTTACTTCAGTACAAGTAGTAATACCACAGTGTAAAAGTGCCCCATTACCAGCCGTGTCTACAGCAGCTGCAGCTACAGCTGAAGTCAGAATAAGAATTATAACTATCCTGGGCTTAGGTATTAGGGTTACAAACCCTAATACCTAAGCCCAGAGTGACAAATACAAAAATCTGTCTGTGGAACTGAGCTAAACATCTCTATTGAATGTAACTTGGCTGCTTTTACATTTTCTTTGACTTAAATTGAAACCAGTTCAGTCCAGATGAGACTCTGAGGTCCCCAGCGGACCCTGACCTCCAATCACAGGAAGAGCCTCAGTTTATATTCATGTGTCCCTGTAGACTCAGTAGACTCAGAGGTCAGCAGCTGGAGGATCACTGAATCTCATTAATGAAAACAGTCGGAGGTGAAACACAAGCTGAGGCCCTGACATTGGGAAACATACCAGTTTGAACTGGACTGGAGTGCAGAACAGTGGACTTGTCAGGGTCACTGTCAATGCGTCAAAGACACAAAGAGCTGCTCACCAAGAGCTGATTAAACTGGCGAGGACTCAGCAAAACTCATATACAAACAAACAAAACAGAGTTCACATGTTGTCACGGCCAGTGGTGCTAAGTACACTTTAGATGTACTACTGGTACTTTGCTGGAGTATTTCCATTTTCTGCCACTCTACTGCACTACATCTGTTTACGAGCTTCAGTTACTGCTTACCTGGATTTTCCAAACAAAACATGCGATGTGTTCTTGTCGACCGAAGGTCGTGCACGTGCAGGTGCTCATCACGAACACTCAGTACCTGGTTTGTCACAGACGTCTGCTCTGAGAACATGTGTCACTGTTGTAACATATTTCACAGGATTCCAGCAGCCTCTTACATTTTCCTGCTCTCTGTCCTTTTGTGTTCATCACTCACATCTCAGCTTCTTTCGGCAGCATTTCCGTTACTTCAGCACCAAATCTCCAACGTTCATTCACTAGACTAAAACTTCCTATTTTCAACAGTAATTCTGTTCCAGTTGCCGCTTCCATTTCTTTCTTTAACTTCAGGTACAACCTTGTTTCCTTTACAACCAAAACTCTACATGTTAAAATCCTGAAAGTGTTTCAAAATATTTCAGCCATGAACGCTTTGTTTTTTCTGAGCTGGTTTTCAGCACAGTTTCATGCACTTTTTCTCAGACACTGACAGTGTTTCTACTTCTGTTTTTATTAAGTGCTAACAAACCATTCAGGAGTTAAACAGTGCAGACACACAAACCGTTGCACAGGAAACTGATGGATTAATCGACTGGCTCCTGATACCCAAAGGTGACTGGTCACCATGGCAACAGTGAAAGTATGGAGGCTCATTCCTGCCAGAATTAAATTTGGTAATAGTCTTCTTAAAACATGACTTTCCTCTATGAAATTATGAGCAGCAACTTCAAAGATAAAACTATGATCTTACCGTAAACAAGACTCAGGTCATGTTTTACAGTTTTTACCTGGGCCACTGTGAACACAGTCTCATGGTCCGTTTAGCAAACGGCCACGGGTGCTTTAGGTCATTACGTTTGGCTCAAACACTGAGACTTGAGGTTTGTCTGTGACCTTGAAATGTGCTGACAAAGACCATGTGATGTAATAAAGAGCTTCAAAACAGCAATTAAATGGACACTGACATAAGAGAGCTGAGCCTGAAGCTGCTGTTTTCACCTTTGTGTCTTTTTTAATGCAATAAAAATGTTAATTTGGTTTTAATGGTTTAAAAACAATGGTTTGTCCTTAATTGTAAAACACCATCTTAATTCTGAGAAACTAATGAGAATGAATGTTTTGGCAGAAATGAGCCTCCACAGCTCCGAAATATGAATAAACAAAAACCTCTCTATTTCCAGGTATCTGACAACATCATCGTGTTTTTCTCCTGGTTCAATTATAAATTATTGTGACTGCAACAACACAGACAGGAAGTAGAAAATACATTCTGACCCAGAGTTTCTACAACTTGTACACAATTAACGTTTTACAGAAATGTCAGGTGTGAATTCAGAGCTCAGAGGCTTCTTGCGCCGCAGTCACTGTGTGTTTTATATGATGGGTGTGAAAACTTCACTGGATGAAGGTCATAGTTTGACCTGACGACACTATAAAAAGACCTGCTGTGTTTTAGACGAGTTCAGCGGAATAGAAACCAGCTGCGTCCTTACACACCAGGTTACCAGGCTCAACAGGTTTAAAAATCAACATCTCGCCATGTTAAACCTTTCTGATAGTTTCATTTAAAAAGCCTTCTGTACTCTCAATGAATGGTGTGCTGAGCCCCCAGACTTATCTGATGACCCTTTGGAGGGACCTGACCCCTAGGTTGAGACCCACTGGATTACACAGTAATCCAACAGTAACATGCAGACCTCTCCCTGAAGGCTGCAGAAGCTGTTGTGTATGAAAATCTGCACCACGTCAGACTGTGAGTGCAAATGCACATCTGTTCCTCCACACTGTGCACGTGTCACTGCGCTGCTGTTTCTTTTGCCTCCTCTTTATCACCTGCTTTGCTGCCAGTTACTCGTCTAATAGTTTGAAGAATGATTGCCATGGGGGGTAATGACACTGTGATTAGTGGCCCCACACTCTAAATCATGAGGTACTTGCTCCTGATTTTAGCACTTGCCTCGGTTTAACCTGTTGGGAGGATGATGTCACACACATAAAGACGCAATGAGTCTGTGATCAGACACGTTTTTATCTGACCGGTGACCAGTTTGTGAGAAGCACTTTCGCTCTGAATTCACCTGTTGTTTCCACATGTGAGGTGTTTAAAGTGGAGGGAAAAATCAAACTGTACATGGATTTATTTCTTAAAGATTTGAAAAGCGCTACACGTTCTAGTTGCTCTTACAGGGTCAGCATAAAGTTGGACTCTTCTACAAGACTCAGGAAACGCTCTGTATGAAGCTCAGATCAGTTCCGAGAGGCCTCTGCTGCTACAAACCTTCACCTGTCCACGTTTCACTGGAACTTCAGAATAAATCCTGTGGTGACCTGGACCACCATGATCCACATGAACCAGGTGAGCTCAGATGAACCCGGCTCCTCCAGAGATCCACCAGTTTACCTGATGCTCTTGCAGGTGTGACGATGTGTTAACAGGTGTGAGCTTCATACAGAGTGTGGACCTTCTCCATCTGAGAGTTCACTGGTCCCAGCTGGTCTCCATAAGTGCTGTGAGTCCCGATCAGCTGAAGGTTCAGGGCGGTCCAGGATGATGCCACCTGGTGTAGTTGCCACCTGTCAAACACAAACGCTGCATCTGAGGCCGAGGGTTCAGACGTTTAGGACGGCGAGGTGACGATCCCCGAGGATGCCGCTGTTGCCGTCGTCTCCCTTGGTGTGTAGTCCGCCTCCTCCTTGTTTGGGTGGGAGGAGTTATCGGACTTGCTGCGGCTGAACTCCGCGCCTATGATGGGCCCGGTGAACTTGGCTTTGGGTCGGATGCAGGCAGTGCAGCACAGCAGGGTCTTCAGGAAAGCGCGGCGCATTTCGTTGCTCGTCAGCGTATAGATGAGCGGGTTCATGGCAGAGTTGAGGACGGCGAGCGCCAGGAACCACTCGGCCTTGTAGAGGATGGGGCAGAGCAGCGTCTCGCAGGCCACGTCCAGCAGGAGGAGGATGAAGAGCGGCGCCCAGCAGGCAATGAAGCAGCTCAAGACGATGATAACGGTCTTGAGCAGCGCCAGCGATTTCTCTGAACTCTTGCTATTGGCGCCGGCGTTGCTGCGTCCGTTGGACACTTTGCGGAAGACAAGTTTGCGGCTGCGAGTGCGCACCAGCGCATAGATGCGTGCGTAGAGCACCACTATGGCCATGAGGATGATGCTGAAGACTGTGGTGCAGAACAGGATGTAGGTCTTATGGTAAAGTGGCAACACGGTGGAGCAGTGCGTCATGCTGTGGATGCAGTTCCAGCCCACTCCCGGCAGCCCGCCCAGCACCGCCGCAATCATCCACACGGTGCTGATGAGCAGGAAGACACGGCAGGTGTTGCCGTTGTTATGCAGCTTCATCTTCAGCATAGTGAGGTGGCGTTCGATGGCAATGGCCAGCAGGCTGAAGACGGACGCTGCCAGGGCCACGAACATACTGCCCTCCCTGAAGAACCACTGCGTGGGCGTCAGTTTGTAGGTGTTGGCGCCCGATAGCAGGATGTTGGCAGTGTAGACGACGCCGGCCAGCAGGTCGGACAGCGCCAGGTTCCCGATGAAGTAGTACATGGGCTTGTGGAACTTTTTGGTCCTCCATATGGTGGTCAGGACCAGGATGTTCTCCAGGATGATGAAGCAGCACACGATGATGAAGACCACCGAGTCTGCCTTCAGACCCGAGTCCTGTTGTGTCTTACGGAACTTTCCGGTGTAGTTGTAGTGTGTTGCGATCAGGTCGGAGTAACTAAGCTCAGCCATGGCCTGCAGCTTCGGCAGGAGTCCAGAAAAAAAAAACTTCAGTGCTTCATGTCAGGTAGTGGCCCTGAAGACAGGCGGAGAGAGTCCTGCTGCTGGACTGGGACATGGTCCTGCAGAGAGACCCACAACTGTCAGATACTCACAGAATACCGCTCTCAGATCGTTAGTGAACAAAATGAACTTTAACCGACTCCGTCACGTTGTCACCGATAAAGAGTTGGTGAGTAGGTCAGATGTGAGTTTATGGCTGAAGCGACTTTAACCGACGGACGCTCCCTCTGGGTCTTAGGACGAAGGGGGCAGGCTGACTTTACTGCCTCAATCTGGTTCCGTGTGAAGACTTATCAACCGATCTCTAGTCAGCTGATTAAAAACACATTTAGGCATCTAAAACACGTTTAATCCACAACACGCTGCTGTGTAAATCGGGATCCTTTAATCTGCTGCTTCTCTCGGTTACTGGTCCTTTTACCAGTTTAAAACACTGGTTCCCTCAGTTCAACCTTCACCACTGCGAGGACCAGCTTCACCTACAGATTTAAACTACTGATCTCTGAGCAGCTCTTTAGTGAACAGTCATTTGGTAAAAGAAACTTTAAACGTGTTTTATTTAGAAACGTCCTTTAAATTGGAACTTGGCTCATGATGAGTGACAGATTAAAGCTGTAAACTGGTCTCCGATCAGCCTGCCGTTAAACGAATTTCTCCTACAGTCACGTTTAACGTCTGTACATTTTCTTCCGTTTTCTGCTTTTAAAACTGAATGAAGCCACGTTCAGAGGGCATGCACTTGAAATACCGGTTAGAAAGGCGTCTTCTGATCAGCAGCACATTTTCAGTCCGTTTTTATTCACATTCAGACGTTTTAACCCTTCGGGTGTTTGGTTTTGTCCGTGAACCTCAGGCTTTTAACGTTTAGCTAAATGAATACATCATCCTGTCTGTCATTAATTTGTTCACTTCAGTGTTTAATTCTCTAGTTAAACTCGCGCGTTTCACATTTTTAGACACATTGAAGCCAAAAAACAGACGTCATGTGTTATTGAGAGGGTTTCATAAAAACATGAAACTGACTGACGCGTTTTATTATGGTGTTTTTCATCAAAGTGAACGTGAAGCTGGACTTGATTTCAGCGGAGACATTTGACCGAGACTCTACTGACGCTTCACACCAACATTCAACTCCATAGAAACTGTCTGAATAAAGAAGAAAGTCAGTTTTTACCTTCGGAGTGCGGAGGAAAAGAGTCCGACACCGGAGCGACACGAAGACCAGCAGCGAAACACGCACACACGCACGCAGTAAGACGCACACTAAACCCACAAATACACACTAAATACACACCTACAGAGTTGACAGTGCAGCCACACAAACCCAGCGAGAACACACACACAATGCATCCCCTAGCCCCCAGCCCCGACCCAAACCTAAACCTGGTTCTAGCCTGAACCCCGGAACCGGGTCTGAACCCCCACTGTCAGAAACGTCCTCACGGTGTAGAACAAGTGAGAGAATGTGAATAAAAGGAAAACACTCCATGAACATGGCGCAAAAGTGAAATGTCCGTGTGCAAAGCGGGGGGTGCCAGCTGTCGGTCAGTGCGTGAGAAGTGGGAAACCCATTCACACATAGTTTCTGGATAAATAACGAAACGTTGCTATAATACCAACGACGCCTCTTGTATTTCGTAGTAAAGTGGACGAGTCACAAGCTCATCTTTGTCAAACCGAGCCGTCCTGTGCTGCAGACACACAACCCTGGTGTCGGTGTGCAGCGGCCGAGACCGTCTACAAAGTGCAGCACTGACAGAGAGAGGCCTGCTGCACAAACATTCAGCAACTCGTACCCTGTTCTCATACCCAACCTCATACCAAAATCACTTCACACATCAGGGGCCATCTGCTGGTTCCACTGCAACCATTGTTTTTGTAGTTTGGAGGAATTTTATCAAACCACTCATTGCAGGCTGGTAAAACCATGGAAATGAAATATCTTGTGTGTAGGGAGCAGCATCAGGCAAGAGGACGGAACAGGTGCATCACTAGTTTTATTAGGTTCACAGAAAGAACTGCTCACAATATAATCATGCTAATAATTATCATTTATAACTATTTATTATAATATATCCCCCATGTCACTATAATAACAGTGGTACAATAATACAAATATCAGATCTGTTGATCTCTGCTGACCCCTCCCACACTGAAGCTAGCTCTCTGACCTCCATTGTATTTGTGATGTCAGCAGAGGTGTCAGGGGCCTCTTCCTCATGAAAAATGTGAGGAAACCACAGCAGCATACATGGTTTGTAGGAAAGCAAATATCTGGCCAGAAACTGACACAGTAATCCTTTAAACATCTGTGACATGTTCACTGAGTGAAACCGTTTGAGCTTCATAAACACAGATGTTAAGGTGGGGGCGTTGAAGTGCATACAATTGTACAAGTGTACCTAATAAAGTGGCCAGTGAGTGTGTACACAGTATAGCATATAGCTTGCATACTGTATTCCCAGTGTTCCCAGTATGAGCTTGTGATATTTCTAATATATTTATTTACTAATTCAGCCAAAGTGCCAGTAGCTGATCATTTCAATATATCACTAGTACAATTAATGTAATATACTGTATCTCTAGTTTATCCCCTGTGAATTCCCAGTGTTTCCAGTATGGTTATTGTGTCCTTGTTTTTCAATACATTCCCAAATTTATCCCAGCATTTTCCCAGTATATTTGAAGCATTCCCAGTATGATACTCTGATATTATCAGAAAGAAGATACTTATATGTTTAATGAAACTCGGATGTTGTTGGAAATGTGCAGGAGAAATATGCTGGTGATGTTCTGGGATCATACTGAAGCCATGCTGGTGTTCATATGTGACCAGTCCACAGTTGGTTTCCTTTTGGAAAATGGAGCTGAG